AATAATAATAATAATAATAATAATAATAATAATAATACCTATATATTTATTTTATACCACTTAACCCACATATGTCTGACGTTTGCAAGTTTAGTAATATACGTTTATATTTCGATAATTTTCTCTAGTTATACTTAACGATATTTGTATAGTTATCGCCACCCTGTCACCATTCTTGAACGCAACTATGCTCGGAAATAGGATCCGCAACAGTAAAGAAATCGAAGTGTTGGCCATGTCGCGGGTAGCCCTGTTAGCTTAGTGGTGGAGCGTGTGGGCGTAAACCAGTAAACCCGGGCTCGAATCCCTTTTAGGTAGTCTAATTCTTTGAAAATATTTAGTTACTGACGAAATCTTGTTAGAAAATGTCCAAATTCTTTGAAGTTGTTTTTGAGAAGTTTAAATGATCTTTAAAAATCTTTCCAAACAACTGTTTATACAAAGGATTTTAAAGAGTACTTCAGTAAATATAGAAAAAACTACTTGCACACATTTTCTAAATACAAAACATTACTTTTCTCTCACCCCTCTTCAAAGTTTTCAAATGAAGTTTTAACGTTAAATGCAAGACTGTAAAATATTATAACACATCTCCAAATACTGACCCTTTTCATAAAAGATAATTGAATCAATTTTTTTATTCATACACCTTCGCTTGTTCTTATTTTCGGAACAACTACTTGCTGACATCTTCGAAATACAAAACAGAAATTTTTTCTATCACTCTTCAAACTTTTCAAACTTAGTTTTAACTTATAATACGAGAAACAAATATTATAACATATCTACAAATTCAGTCTCTTTTTCAGAAAAATAGTAGAATCAATCCTTCTTTTTACAACGAAACTCAATTTAGTTCTTCTTTTACGATTATTCGCCCCCCGAGGCTCCCCCGGCGCGGAGATGGTTTCCCGGAACCCTTCGCGGTTGCCCTCCTTTCAGCCCCTTTTTGCGGGATTGTGGGGCATTAAACAAACGCTTTGGAGTATATTTTTTTTTCGCGTTCTCGGGAGCGATGCGCTCGCTACGGCGTATCGACCCGCCTTGCTTCCGCCTTGCGCGGAGTGTGTTGTCGTTTCTTCGGGAGCATTACGACGCCGCGCCGCCCGCGCACTCCACACGTGACGCCGCGCGGACGAGCGCTTCGGCGCAAACGACATAGCCAGCGCAGCTCTCGCCCGGAAATGGTTAGCGCGGCGGAGTTCGGAAGTTGCGTTCTTATAGATTGACAGATAGCAGTTTCTTTTCACGATTCCCTCCAGCGTTTCCGGTTAAACTTCGCAATTTTATTGTCTCAATGTTAAAATGTGTAACTACGTTAGAGATGAAATATGTAGTTAAATAGGTAATGTGATGGAATTCCAAGTGCTGGCTGTGAGATGGGTTCTGTAAAATCGGTTGGATAGTCGGACATTACCAACGCGCTCCACCAGCCTAACTCGCCACGAATTATGATGTACAAAAATAAATTTATCACTGGAAAACTTTTGAAGCCTATTCAACGGGCAACACACATGTAAACTAGTTTGATAGCACGTGACACGGGGACGAGGACTTTGTCGCAAACTACACAGCCAGCGCTCCCTCGGCGGGAAATAGTTTGCGTGGCGGAGTTCGGAGGTTGAGTTCTTGCTGGGGATGATGTGCCAGTGCTATCAACGGCTCGGAAGTAATTTGGCTCAAATAAATATTTATTGGCTATTGTGGATTTTCGAAAACGGGATAGATCGTGAAAAGCAAGCTCTTTGCGCTATTCCCGCTAGCATTTCAGGTGAAGCTTTTTAATTTCATTGATTCAGTATTACAGAGAATAGTTAAGTTAGACGCGACGAAATATATAAACGAATACGATATGTCATGCATATTAAAGTGCTGGCTGTGAGACTGATCAGTAAAATCTGTTGGGTAGTCACGATATGCATTACTAACGCGATACTAACGCGATGCATTTGCCAAACACGTCAATAAATATAACAATTGTCACGTACATAAATAAAGTAGCTGACCCGCTGGCCGAGATCGCCAAGGCAGTAGTGCCGTAGCGATCTCGGACCGAAGGATTGCGGCTTCAAGTCTCGCCTAGAGCATGGTTCTATTTGTTGGTTGTCCTTTCACTCCCAATCATCACCATATCATGTTGCCTTCACAGTTACCATAACGTTAAATCCAATAGTGTTCGCCTAATGACCTAGATGATGGTGTGACGTTAAATAAAAAAATAAGTTAATAACTCGAAAATACTATTTTTTATTCAATGGGGTACACATCAGTAGTTTAAAAAATTAATGTAATACTTATATTCATATTGCATCAAATAAAACTTTATTATAGCTCTCAGCAAGTGTAATATTTTACAAGCTGTATTTATTAGAGAATGTAAACTAAATTGACTAAATGACTTGTTGCTGTATTTGCGAATAACGTTTCTTTTGTTTTAAACTAATAAAAATAATTTAATTATTTTATTGGAAATACCCAATTATACATCTATAACAACTATAACAAGATTTATGAAATATTCAGTTTTCAAGAAAAGAAATAAATATATTTGTGAACTAGCAAATTCGGTTTTACGTATCATTTATCATTTAATAAGCAATGTGACGTTCGTTCAGAAAAAAAATACTTTTATCTCTGACCTTCGAATATAACGTTCGTTCGTATCAATTCGTATCAAATTGAAATTTTTGTCTTAATTATTGAAATTTATTGACATACTGAGGTATTTTAGTAATAGTAATCACCAAATCATTAATTGAAAGTGTTCTATATTGAAGAAAAATGTTCTATCTATTTTTGTTAGGTAAGGATTTGCCATTTTATTATTTAGTATCTTCATTCATACAACGTTTCTGAACTCTCTAATGAGAGTTTCGTTTGAGTGCTTATCGGATGTTTACAAAAAGTTCGAAACCGTTGCAATGCGTAATCGCTTCATTAAAACTCTGGCGTTTTTGACAACCAGGCCTGAAAACAAACGCGTTCCAATAATATTTTATTATACATCGATGTTGATAACCATTGTGCAATCGAAGAAACATAATGGATTTTGAACTACAATAGTTCTTCTGAAATAGGACAAAATAGGACGTTTCCATCACTGCCCTGTCAAAAGGGGCCTCAAGTACAGAAAATATTAGGTATTTGTCCATGTTCATGCCTTCTAAACTGATCATATTATACCACAAACTTTCAGAAAATTATTATTATACTCGTGTTTAACTAAATACAAGTATCATTAGTTCTTAAATATATAAAGTTGTCCTTTAATGACATTACAGTTTATTGTGGTGACCGCCGTTTACTCTGATTTGTGTTTGGCGGGTGGGTTTGGGGTGTGACTGTTAAACAAATATGTTCACGATTTAAAGAAAAACGGGCTAACAAATTTTAAATAAAATAATGAAAAAGCTTGAAAATGGAAGTTGACTTACATCAATCACGTTGTACGTTGCCAACCTTTTATGATTTGACGTTAAATTCTTCGTTGATGTCATTTACTTTTCATCTTCAAGAAACGCCTCATTAGCTGCACGTGAATCGCGACTGCATGTCACTTTGCCGCCGCACAAAGGGCAACCACCTAGTTAATTCCACGTCATCGCTCGCATCTGTTTCCGATGCCGTGCGGGACCCGAACAATTAAGCGCTTTGCGGAAGTGGATGTGGACGAGGACGGGGAAGGGGGAGAGGGAGGGGGGCGTGGACGAGAGCGTGCGCTGCGGAGCGCGAAATTCGCACAGCCACCTCGATTAGTCTCCGCCTCCGCCGGTCGGGGCGCTACCAGCGACTGGAGAGCCTAGAAAGTTTTTAATTCTTCCAAGGAGCCATCGCTGGTGTCAGGGCTGGCCCCGACGTTGCTTGATGGCGGCTCGATATCCCTGATAAATAAAACCAATTAAAAAGCCGATAGTTGGGCGCAACTTGAACCGAAGGAGCAGCGCAGGGAGGGAAGGAGAGAGAGGAAGGAGGCCTCGAAGAGAAAAACTCTTAGTGGAAGAGGATGTGATGTAATGAGAAACGGAATGTTGTGGTATGCAGTAAAGTGAACCAGTGATGCTGTAAAATTTGACATAGTATATTAAAGAAGAACCATATCGATTTCGACAGAGTCGAAAGCAAGACTGAAAGAAATGAGAAAATTTCAGACCAAAAGTTGAAAGGAATACTCGAAACTAAGGAAATATCAATCGAAAAATGAAGGAGAAAAAATATAAAAATGAAGAATAATATTGAGGAAGACATAGAAACATGAAAAACGAAATAACAGGCATATGAGTTGGAAATGCAAAAATATTGTGAGAGACAAAGCGCAATGGCAGACCGAGAGACAGAGA